TTTGTGATTAATCACTATGCTTTAATTATGTTCAATTTGTAACAATGAAATTGGGGGTCACCACAACATGAGGAACTGTATTAAAGGGTCCCGGCATTAGGAAGGTTGAGAACCACTGCTCTTGAAGAATCAGGGCCCAGAATATGCCCTTCCCCCTTTTTACCCCAGTTTTCTATTTTTTCACCTTCCACTTAACTCTTCGTGACATTTCTAAGGAAATATAATCTGAAAACAGTTCTAGGTAATTTTGTTAAAATAATATAGATAGTTTTAAGTAACAAAAGTTTGTCAGAGAATTACTTTTGTAGTGGAATATTTGTTTCATTATCTGCTAAAACATTTAATCTCCAGGTGCTAGCTTGTTTTGGAATGCAGCAGGTGATCATCAAGAACCTGACTCTCAGCTGAAGCAAGATGATACCAAGATTTCCAGTGAGGACATGAATTTTTCTGTGGATATTAATAATGAAGTCACAAGTACTCCGGGTAGTGCATCTTCACTAAAAGCAGTTGATATTCCCAGTTTTGAAGAGAGCAACATTGTTGTGGAAGAAGAATTTAATCAGCCACTTTCTATATCCAAGTAAGGTCTCTTTGACTCAATATTTATCCCACTTTTTTTCTTTATATAAATTCTAAGATTCTTTTGGTGATCTAACTCCTATGTGCATGTTAACCCATGCCTACATCTACATCTACATTTATTTCTATATGTATCTATCTGTATTTGAAAATCCTTGACTTCATTCCAGTCTTCTGATTCCAATCCTACACCCTTTTTTCTTATTTAAAACTTCTTTCCCCAACAGTGAAAAACCTGGCTCTTGTTATGTACACTACACTTAGTCTTTCAGTCCTAGTGTACACATAAAGTAGTTTCAGCATTACTAAAAATCCTGAATTTTACTAGAGTAAATTTACTAGAGTATGTTTGTGTATAGTTTTTATCTTTAGCCTTACAATATTCAGTGAAAATACCTTTTTTTAAAAAGTTACTTAGGTTATTTTTTCTTCCCTATTCCCTTATGTTATTTTTTTGCATTGCCATTAGGTGTTACTATTTGTACTCCATTTTGATGTCCTTCCATATTCTGGTTGATTTTGTTTTTTCAGTGTGTGAAACATCACTCTGGTTCTAACAAACCAAGCTATGTAAAAAGATATACACTTAGAGAATTGTTCCTTTTCATCTGGGCTACCTTGATTCTAAATTCTGCTTTTTCCATTTCTTTTTTTACATTGGATCTCTTTAGTTACTGGCTTATCTTTCCTGTATTTCTTTTGTACAAATGAGCTTATATATCTGTATTTTATGTTATTTCTTTCTTACATGAAGTGTAGAAAAGTAGCATGCCATAGATACTCTCCTAAACTCTTTTCACTTGGCAGTGTATACTGGAAATCACTCCAAATTGGTTCCTAGAGATCATTATATAGCAGAGATGTTAGCTGATTGTGGTATATTTTGTGAATATTTTCTTCCAGTTTGTCAGTTGTCTATTGACCTTATTTGATGTTTTTTGCCATGTAATGGTTTTTTACTTTAGGTAATCAAATTTATTGACTTTTTTCTTTAGAATTATATCTTAACTGATATTTTACAGAGATTCATTTCAGCGAATAGTTTATTGAGATTATCATGTACCAAATGAGTGCTTGGCACTTCATATCAAGTTAAAATTAAACAGTATGGAAAAAATTGAAAATAAGCTGAGTTTTATTTTTTTTTTAAATATATTTTATTGATTTCTTACAGAGAGGAAGGGAGAGGGATAGAGAGTTAGAAACATCGATCAGCTGCCTCCTGCACACTCCCCACTGGGGATGTGCCCGCAACCAAGGTACATGCCATTGACCGGAATCGAACCTGGGACCCTTCAGTCTGCAGGCCGATGCTCTATCCACTGAGCCAAACCGGTTAGGGAATAAGCTGAGTTTTAAAGAAAAGGTATGGTTAGAAAAATTCATACCCTATCTATAAAATGAAATATTATGTAAAGATTAAAACTTGTTTTTAAGAAAATTTAATGAAATGGAAAGATACTATGATGTAATATTAGGTTTTTAAAAGCAGCTTCGAAAGCTATAATATGGTTCAGTTTTTTAGAGAAAATACATATTTATGGAAAAAATATAGATGGGAACACTGAAAAATTAACAGGTTATCTCTAGGTATTAAATTACCTGTGACTTTTATTTTCTTTATACTTGGTGTAACTTTAAGCAGTTACCTAACTAACCTCTGTGCCTCAGTTCCTCATCTGTCAAATTAGGATAAAATGTAGTATCTATCCCATAGATCTTTTTGATAAAGAGTATATGAGATGATGCACCTGAAAGAGTGTATGGCCCTTTCTGCCAGCTAACATTTATTATTACTTTTCCCTATTTTCTACAATCGCCACATATTACTTTTCTTATAAGAAATGTTTTTAAATAATGCTTTCCATAGTTATTTTATAAATATGTATTCTAATTTTGAAAGTAATAAATGCTCATTTGAAAAATACATAAAAGCATAAAGAAGAAAAATACCACCAAGTACATAATGTGATTATAAATGTCAACTTAGGAACTCTCGTTTGACAAGGATCTTAACTGTTTTAAGACTTCAAGTAAATAAATAATATATTTAAAATTTTCAGAGTATCTAAAAAATATGAATTAAGCCTTTCCTATCTTTAAATTCTAAAAAGCATCTAGTTCAGGAGAAATCAACAGGTTGTTTTCCAACTTTCCAAGAAAGCTGTCTAAATATATTATAAATAACGTAACTCAAAAAGGTATCATGACCCAGCTTATATACAGCCTATCAAGATGAGATGTTCATCACTAAGAACTAAAAATACAAACCAGAATACTGCTTGTGTCTTACCTCTTTCTTCCAGAGTTACTGTACTTCAAATATATGTGAAAGGTACCTTAAGAACTAACACTTACATCATATACTTATATCATTTCAAGCAGCTCTTCTCCAGTTGTGAGAAAAGAACCTGATGTGCCTGTGTTCTTTCCGAAATCCCCGCTGGCAGAGAGCACAAGCATGTGCTTACAGAGTGGACCAACAGAGGGTGCTAGTAACAACTCTGTAACATCAGAGGAACCAAAAATTGAGCAAGTAATGCAACAATCCTTGCCTCATCAAACATCAGATAACCAGAAAATATACCAGGATTTATTGGTAAGAAAATGTAAAGCATTTCATCTCTTGTGAGATAGTTATTTAGTCTAGGATATACTAATCAAGCCTTTCCTACCTTTAAAACTGATTGGGACCTTGATATAAAAAAATTTTATGCAAATTAATGATATAATTTATTTCTTTCAGCTTTTCATAAATTATGATAACGTGAATTCAGTAATTTACTATAAGTTTTCCAGTTGTCAGGTACTTAGATAGCCAGGAAATAAAGCCTTATTTTAAAAATAGAAAAGTTGATATTAGGCCAAATTCAAACTGAAGTTAGTACCATAAAAAGCAAGCAAGAGTTTGCAGAAAGTTTGAACATTGGAAAGAAATAGAATATTTGTGATAATATTTACTGATTTCGGTTTAGGTAAGCAGCATTTTATTGAATACGTAGCCTAGTCTATGAAAGTGAACTAAGTAAAATAGATAATATAAAAGATGAATATGGCAGTCTCTGCTTTTGAGAACCCAGGGGAAATAACACATGGATACCAGTAACAAACAGCTCTAGGGCAGGTGGAGAAGTGCTGTAAGCAAAGGCAGCACAGACCAAAAAGGGATAATTCTGGTTGGAGGAAATAGGTGTCTTGGAAAAGTTAGAATGTAAACTGGAACATAAAGGTCACATAGCCCTGGCTGCCACTTTCATCCAAATTGTAGACTTTGGAACATTTGATTTCTTCATTTAAAATTGAAGGCTAATTAAGCTTACTTCACAGGGCCATAAGATTTCCTCAATGAACACACATTATTTGCCTGCTAGGTCCTAGACTGATGTGAGCAGCTGTGTGCTTAGGAAATGAAATGCGCTTTAATACCAGGAGGACAGAGATGGTATTCATTCTCACTCAAAGTGAGAAAAGGAAGAAGTCAAATTCTGAAAGTAGCAAAGATCTACAAAATGTATAATTGAAACATTACCATTTTTAAAATGAAAGCATAGTTTAAAACTTTTGTTTATAAAGAATTTACTTATAAGTCCTGAAAACACTGGAAAATAGTACTCAAGCATTTTTAAAACTGAAGGTTTTTAAATGAACAAGTTCTGAACAGACATTCTTTTTTCTTTTTAAATCAGTACCGAAACTTTATTCACAGATATTAAGAATTTAATTATTTATTTTTTTAATTAAGTTTACTAGGGTGGCATTGGTTAATAAGATTATGTAGGTTTCAAGTGTACCTTCCTATAATACAGGATATATATATTGCATTGTATGCTCACCACCCATGAACAGATATTCTAAGTTTTCTCTAGGGTCTGATGAAATTATTCATTAGGATGGGCTGCTTTTATTAAAAAACCGATAATACTCGCAAATGTACTTACTTTAGAACTTGGGAAGATATTATTTTGCTTTTCTGTGGCCTTACTTATGCTATTATTTCCTAAGATTGTTAATAGTGATTTTTCAAGTATGTCCTTTTTCTTTTCATCAGGGTCAAGTGAACCACCTATTAAATAACTCATCCAAAGAAACTGAGCAACCATCTACCAAAGCAGTAATTATCAGCCATGAACGCACCAGAACCCAAAATGTTTACCATGCAAAGAAAAAAAAACATGATTCGGGACTGGTGGACAAAGATTGTGTTCTTAATGCAACCCTGAAGCAACTAAGAAGCCTTGGAGTAAAAATTGATTCTCCCACTAAAGTGAAGAAAAATGCTCATAAAGTGGATCATGCCAGGTAATTTTAAAATTTGTTCTAAATGATGAATAAATTTTAGATGTATTGCAGCAGTCTCATGAGAACAGGTATAAGCTTGCCATTCAGTTCAATTGATTTATCATTTATTCAGTGTCTGCTATATGTGTGATGAATAAGAAATCATCTCTACCCTTTAGATTCTTCATTTTAGTAGGAGAGAGGGTTATGTAAGTAATTACAGAGATATTGTGGGATGTCTCCTGGTTAAAGATGTCAATGAAATCTCTGGGAGTCCTGGGAAAAGAGAAATGAGCTTTTATTCATTTTGGTGTCTGGAAAGTCCTCCTGGAGGGATAGTGTCTATACCAGTGATGGCGAACCTTTTGAGCTCGGCATGTCAGCATTTTGAAAAATCCTAACTTAACTCTGGTGCCGTGTCACATATAGAAATTTTTTTATATTTGCAACCATAGTAAAACAAAGACTTATATTTTTGATATTTATTTTATATATTTAAATGCCATTTAACAAAGAAAAATCAACCAAAAAAATGAGTTCGCATGTCACCTCTGACACGTGTGTCATAGGTTCGCCATCACTGGATAGTAGGCATCTGGATAGTAGACAGTTGTGCCATCTAAAAGGCAAGAGTATAGTCACATGAGCCTTACCAGTTCCAGCTTGTATGTTCTTCTGTTCAGATCCCGCTTCTTCAAAGTTGACCTTAGCAAATACTTGTTTTTAAAGATGATAAAATCTGGAAATTATATTAAGGTTAGCATGTTTTCTGTTCATTGTTTTTGTTGCTGTAGTTTAGTTACAAAAGTAATAGTTTCATGATTTTAAAAAACATCAAATAATACACAAGAATATCAGATAAAATACAAAAGCCCCTAATCCCCAAACTTCTCAGACTCCTCCAACAAGATTATTTCTCTTGTTTGTTTTATATTCTTCTAGAAATATTCAAGTATATACAAATGGTGATGAGTGTTGTGATTTCGATTTTCTTGTTTAACATTTATAGCTTATTTTTATAGGCATATGCAGTTCTTTCTCATGCATTTAAACAGCTGCATAATATTCTGTGGGACCCATGTACTATAATATAGTGAACCCTAGTCCTCTATTAATGGCCTTTTAGTCTGAATCTCTTATTTCTTATCTCAAGCAATGCTAAGTGAAATCATTCTATAGGTACTTGTACAAGTATCTTTGCAGGATAAATTCCTACATAAGTAGGATCAAAGGATATGTGCATGTGAGGTTTTGGTAGATGTTGCCATTGGCCACCAAAATAGTTGTACCAGTTTATATTCCTTCCAATAGTGTGGGAGAGTGAGGTAGCATTTGTGACGTAGTAGCTATATAACGTCTGTTAGAATGCACAGATCACCTGCTATCTATATAGAACCCTTACATTTTGGTATGGCTGCCTTTAGGGAATAGTTTTTAGGTAATATATTTCTTCACAGTGGCCACCCTATTTTAATGTCTCTAGTGTGAAACATTGAAATTAACATATTTTAGTATATAATGAACTTACTGAATTAGAAGTTTATTTTTCAAATTATTTACATTAGTATTATCTATAGATATGTATTTTTCTGGTTGTGCATGTTTTCTGATTTAATATGCAGATTGCTTATAATTTTAGTAAATAAGCAAAGAAAGTAGAAAAGGACTGTATATTCAGAAGATATTATCACTATAATACATCATAAAAGCATAATGTCTAGATAAATTGGTAGTGTGTATTTCGTCTTATTCATTCTCCAAAGTATTAAGTACCAAGAAGGTTAAGGAAGAATTCTTTATAAGGACCAGCAGTATTAAGCATGCTTTCCCATTGCTTGGTGATGAGATCGCTGGTTTCAGGGAATATTAACGATGAGAATGAAAATACCTGATAGTTACTTGGATTTTGTAGAGGTAAGGATGCACATAGTGGCTGGCACATATAAAATGGCTGAATTTCTTCGTTGAATTATATGGAAAGTCATAGCTTATTCTTTGCCTAGAACAGTGGTTCTTAACCTTCCTAATGCCGCGACCCTTTAATACAGTTCCTCATGTTGTGGTGACCCCCAACCATAAAATTATTTTCATTGCTACTTCATAACTGTAATTTTGCTACTCTTATGAATCATAATGTAAATATCTGATATGCAGGATGTATTTTCATTGTTACAAATTGAACATAATTAAAGCATAGTGATTAATCACAAAAACAACATGTAATTATATATGTGTTTTCCGATGGTCTTAGGCGACCCCTGTGAAAGGGTCGTTCGACCCCCAAAGGGGTCGCGACCCACAGGTTGAGAACTGCTGGCCTAGAATATACTGTTTACCACAACAAGTAGTACACAAAGGGCTCTAATTTTTAGGGAACAGAAAAACAGATAGCAAAAATACAAGTTGCTGAATACAGTATAATAACCAGTGGTTATAGAACCCCAGAAAGTAAGGCAGACCTGATCTCAGCTTGCCTGTTACTAGCTACTCAACTTAAGGAAATTAGTTAAAAATCTCTATTCTTTAGTTTTCTCAACTGTAAAATAAAGGTAATAATAGTACCTACTTCTTTTATTCATTTGGTAAATTATTGAGTACCTGCTACCAGGCACCAAGGGATACTATAACGAGGACAGAAATTTGTGGACTTTCCTGAGGGAGCTAGACAATAAATAAGAAATGTGAGTTAATAGATAGCCATAAGTGCTAAGGAGAAAACAGAAAAGTAGGAGAAGGGAAATGTGAGGTATTAGAGTGGACAATAAAGTTGAGATATTTGATATGGATGACCTCTCTGAGAAAGGTTTCTGGGAGGGTTAAATAAGATAATGTTTAGCAGAGTGCCTGGCACATAATAAGGCATCCATAAAAATTAGCAGCTATTATTGTATATATGATATAAAGGGAAAGGCAAGTCAATTAGTTAACATTAATGAGATAACACTAGCCAAAGTGAGTTGAAGGTTATAACAGGTGAAAGAAAGTCAGTGTATACACACACACACACACACATACACACAGTAGTCCATATCCAAAGACTGATTGATGTTTATTTATTACACATAGAATCTCTTCAACTATGAAAAATTTAATATTCTTAGTTATTTACCAGAGCTTGTTATGTTATATTATCAAATATGTTTTCTATTTTATTTATTTATTGTTTTATACTTGACCAATATTTACTTTACCAATGACTTTTACATTTGGGGGTCTGTATTTTCTCTTAAAACCATGACTGATGTTTAAATTTAGGAAAATTAATTTGTGTTTTGTGTTCCACTTTCAGTCTGTGAATCATGGATTACCTTCTAGGTTATCGTATTTATCCCTTGAATATATCTGGGTCATCAAGACTTAGGTGTTTGAGCACTCAGATAAAAAAGCACCATAAGCCTTAGAGCTGAAGACCTTTTGTTACTTAGAATGGAATACATTTAGAATAACACTATTTGGTACTCAAAATAAAATAAAATGATGGCCTACTCCATTTTGTCTTTCAGTGTGTTGGCATGCATCAGCCCTGAAGCAGTGATCTCTGGATTGAACTACATGTCATTTGCTAATGTTGGCATGAGTGGCTTAAGCCCTAACAGTGTGGATTTGAGCATGGAGGCAAATGCTATAGCTCTGAAGTATTTAAATGAAAATCAGCTGTCACAACTGTCTGTCACTCGATCAAATCAAAATAACTGTGACTCATCCTTTAGCTTTCTGCATATTAATACAGACAGAAGCACAGTGGGGCTTAGTTTAATTTCACCAAACAACATGTCGTTTGCAACCAAAAAATATATGAAGAGATATGGACTTATACAAAGCAGTGACAATAGTGAAGATGAAGAGGAACCTTCAAAGAACACAGATAACAAGAGTGAACATTTATTGAATCAGAATCCCACATGCATACCTGAGCAACTGGATTGTCAGAAGGAGCCTTTTAGGAATGCCTGTGAAATAATTAATTGTAATAACTGTGAATCCTTGGGCACCCCCACAGATATGCCAGTATTGAGAAATATTACAAATGAAGTTCAGCCAAAAGCAGCACAGCAGTTGAATGAAAACCCAGCTTTTTTATTAAAGAACCTTAAGTCAAGTCCTACAGTGAATCTCCGAACTGGAAAAGCAGAGTTTACCCAACATCCTGAGAAAGAAAATGAAAGGGACACTCCATTTTTTCCTGAAAGTTTGAAACCTTCTGAAACTTTAAAGCAAATGAATAGTATGGATTCTGTAGGCACCTTCTTAGATGTTAAGCGTCTCAGACAGTTGCCAAAATTATTTTAAACCTTTTAACTCCCTGCCCTGATATGAGGACTGGGTGTCTTCTGAAGAAACTTAGAGAAGCCAGAGCCCTTTGGTAGTTTGGGGATTCCTAATTAAACATGGGTCATCCTGTTGTTTTTTTATAACAGCTGATTGCAAAGAGCTGAACAAGTGACCTGATTGTAAGATGGCTGGCTGGTAAGAGGGCTGAGTTCTTTTTGTTAGAGAGCTTTCAGTGTCACTGAAACCTTTTTAAAACAAACAAAAAAAAACAACCCTAAGATTAGTTGTTTCAACAAATTTAGGTAAACAGACACCATCCAACTCTGGATCTTAACTGCTCTTTATACTATACATTTTGAAAAGTAAGTCTGTTTTCGTAGCATGTTGCATCTCTACATCTGCCCAGTATCACCTAAAAGAACATAAAATAAAGTTATCATGACCCTGACTAAATTAGCTAGATCAATCCTTACTAAATTTAAGGGGAAGTTTTGTAAAATAATTTAAGATCTTTTTATTCTAAGAGTGTATATGTCCTCTTAAGATCCAAATTTGTTAAATCCTGTGGAAGTAAAACTTTTGCTATATGGTGGGTTATATATTACCTATCGCAGAATAAGAAAATTATTGGGTATGAGTGTTTTATAAACTTTGTGAGTTTTTCAAATGTTTTAATTTTTTAATAGAACTAAAATACCTATTAAATTTAATAAAATGTCTAGATTGACTGTTCTCCTTTGTTCTCTGCTATAGCATATCCTTCTCACTTTAAAAAAAAGAAAAACTTTTAGGCCCCCTGAAAGTTACAAAAATAGTAAAGAGTATACACTTCACCCAGCAACCCCCAAAGATAATATCTTACGTATCCATGTAAATGATTAAAATCAAGAAATTGACATTGGGTATAGTATTAATAATTAAAACAGACCTTCCAGGTTTCACAAGTTTCTACATGCACTCATTAACTATACCATTATCACATTAGCTCTATGAAATTTTGTCATCACAATCACCGTAAAGAAAGAACTGTTCCATTACCCCAAAGAAACTAATTGTACCCTCCTTCCAACCCTGACCTCTAACAACCAATGGCCTATTCTCCATCACTGGAATTTTGTCATTTTGAGAATATAAGTGGAATCATAGTATGTAACTTTGAAATCGGTTTTCACACAGCATAATGTCCTTGAGATCTATCCAAGTTGTTGATTGTATCAATAGTTGCTTCCCTTCTCCCCTCATCTTCTTAAATAGTAAGTTTTAAATTGTTATTTCTGGATATAAATGAAAAAATCTTCATTCATTTGAGAAATAAAGCTCTTCTGCTGAAGTTAAATGAAGATAGTGCCTTATACCAATATCTAAGCTTGATGTATAAATTGGAAAGATATAGACTTTGGATTTCTAAATACTTTCCAACCGAGCTGGGGCTTTCTGAGATAATAATCTGATAATTTATAGTTAGCAAGCCCAAGTATAGCAACATGATAGCTCTCTGCTGTTCCCCACTGGAGCCAGGGACCCATTTGTGCATCTTTTCCTTCAGTGTTGCTCTTTCAGGTTAAAAGTAAGATGAGTAAATAGCAATGATGATTGTGTTTCCCTTTGTTTCCATAGGCATTGTTTGAAGCTTTAGCTATTTTAATAAGTAGCATGAAAGTCCACCTATGGACTTCATTGGAGTAAAAATTTAAAAAAAAAAATTTTTTTAATGTTTTTCTTGATCTCAGAGAGGAAGGGAGAGAGAGACAGTAACATCAATGATGGGAATCATTGATTGGCTGCCTCCTACACGCCTGCCCCTCACTGGGGATCTAGCCCACAACCCAGGAATCAGACCATGACCTGGTTCATAGCTCGACACTTAACCACTGAGCCATGCCAGTCGGGCATTGGAGTAAAATTTTAATGGAATTGTCAATGCCACACTTTAACAGAGCACTATGTGCTCTGTTTAACTTTAGCCCTCAGTGTTTCACCCAAGAGAGTGTAGGTACAATTTATATTGCACATTAATGAACAAAAAACTAGGGGATGTTACTGAATTAATTGACAACCTCATTAACAATACCATTATCACTGGGAACCCACACCAAATAAGCTCTCTATCTGAACAATAAAAACTGAACCTGAAACTTGTTAGGCAAAATCAAATTCCATCACCACATCTAATTTAAGGCCTCTGGTAGGATGCTTAAGCAGTTTGGAGAATGATTTTAGACTGCAGATTAATTCAACAAAACATGTCTACTAAATGCATTTCCAGAGAAGAGGGACCATCACTGAAGCCTTACTACAGAAAGTTCTCTAAGAAGAGTGTTTTACTATGGTAGGTTACTTGGCAAGCTATTGCTATGATAGCATTTAGGCATCTTTGGAAAAGCATTAGTACTGAGAAAATTGGATTAAAAGACTTTTGAGATGATTGTCTCTCAAATGATATTTCTTTGAAATTTTTTCATTTATCTAGTCCCCACCATGCTGTTTATAGATATGGGTGTGCTGCTTCAAATGAAATAAGGAAACAGTGGAATTTCTGCATCCAGAAACATACCCACTAGTTTGGGTCCTGGCCACTTGGCCTCCCCCTCGCCCCCCATCTCCACACACACATACCAAATGTCTGCTAACTCAACCTCTGAGCCCCTTGGTGGCTAACTGCTCCATGGTCATTTGTCCTTTGCCTTGCCCTGCAGAAGTGGATGTAGACATGTTAGACATGAGCCTTGCCCTTTGCCAGCTGTGAAGACTAGGGAAAACAGATACACCCTGAAAGCAGTCACACAACAGTATATGATGAAAAGACAAAATGAGTGATCCAGAGGAAGCCACAGCAGTGTAATCATGATAGCTTCCACCTTTTTAGAACTCATTGTGCAGAGTACTTAATATGTGTTAGTTCATTTAAGTCCCTGCTGACCCCAACTGGTGATTGTCATCCTCATAGATGGGGAACGGCCTTAGGGAAGTAACTTATCCAAGTAAGTTGCTAGGAGAGACTCACACTCAAGTATAACTCCAGAGCTCAAGTTCTTATTAAGCCACTGGGAAAACAGCTTCTCTGAGGCCTGAGGAATTCAGGAAGAGCTTCCTATAAAAAACCAAAAAAAACACAAAAACAGATGATTTTGAACATTACAGTCAATGCTGTCTTCAAATATACACTGTCCTCCACGCTGCCCTGCCGTATTTCCCCCTAAGAAGGCGTCCCCTTGTCCTTTAGCCATGACCAGAAATGACTCTTTTTTTTTTACCCAAGAGCCCTGAAGGTGGCCACCCCAGCTATGTTATGTTAATATTAAAGGATTCATTTCAATGATTTTCTTCATGGTAACCTCCTTAAGTCTACTGTTAGGGCTCCAGGAAATTGGAGGAACAAAAGATTTTTCTGTGGCCTTGTTTTATAGACATTACTCATAAGGGCAGAACCTTTGCTAGCCTCCTAGATGAGAGAGGCCTTTATGCCTGCAAAATAAATTCCATGATAATGTCTTAGGTTGATAGACTATTTCATATATTTTTCAAAGTGTGCTTTCCTACATACTTCCTCTTATTAATACTTACAAAACCGGACTGAAATATATGGCAGTATCGTTAACCCCTTTTTTCAGATGATAAGACAGACACAAATAAGGTATAACTGGACCAAGGTCACACACTTATAGTTAACAATCTAGTGTCCTTCCATAGCATCTAGCCCAGCAGTAGCCATTCCCTCCACGCTTCCGATCCCCATCAGCACCATTTTCACTCCTAGTCATCCCACGGGTATCTAATGTTGGTTCTGCTGGGCACTGAGCTAGGTGCTGAGCATAAGGTGATGAACAAGACAAATTTGCCCTGTAGGAACTCTATCTAATGGAGCCAGACATGCAAACATTAGCAATGCTGAGAGGTCGCTGCTCCTATATGAAATGGGAGAATAGATGAAGAGAAGCTTGGAGGAGGGTTATTCTGACAATGCTGGAATTTTCCAGAATCTTGCAGGAGCAAGAGGGAAGAGAAGGGAAAGAAGTGATAGTTCTAATAGAGGGAATAGCTTGTTGGAAAGCATGGAGATATGAACAGGTACAGCATTGGAGGAGGGGGGTGGGGACAGGAAAGCAAAGATAGGTAAAGGGATAAAATATACAAGTAGAAAGAACACTGAATTAGAAGTCAGCAACAATTGGATTCTTCTCGTTGCTCTGCCCCAAGTTCTGTGACATTGGGCAAGTCACCTCATATCACTCGGCTTCAGTTTCCCAATTTTTGAGGTGAAGGGGTTAGCCATGTGTCTCTGACATGCTGTGATTATATAAACAATGATTCAGAAACAGGGTATGAGGAGTGTTTTACAAGTCCAGAGGAGGGGAAGGCTTCCATAAAAGATCATTAGAGTTGGGCCTCCATAGGTATAGATGAGGAAAAGGAGATTTCCTACTTTTTACAATGCTTAATGTATTTCACAATTTAAAAAGAAAAAGAGAGTTCCCTTTTCCCCACCAAAATGTTGATTAATAATATCTATTCCAAGGGATACCAAGATGCCTTTTTCCAGCTCTGAATTACACATTCCCTGTTTTTAAGGAGTTCAAAGTACAGTGTGAAAAAACATCAAACCCATGGAAAGGTGATTTAGGGTTTGGAAGCCTGGGTGATGTTCCTTATCTCCTCTCTGCTTCCCAAACCGGAACTGTCTGGGTCACCGAGAACATCCTCAGAGGAAATCCTGTTTTCCCACTTCCTGGTCAGAGACTGGACTCCAGGAAAAGGAGAGATTAGGGGAGAGCCCTGTGTCCTGTCTCTTCACGGGAGGTCTGGGACCAGGAGGGCAAGAGGGACTAATTAAAAACATAATGGAAACAATGACGTAAGGTATCCAAGCTGCAGAGCTCTCAGAAATCACTTGGGTCCTCATTGTACGAATGAGGACCCTGGGGCCCAAAGAAGAGGAGGGACTGTTCAAGTTCACACAGCTTAGTAAGCACAGAGCTGGGACTGGAACTCAGGACGCTAGCCTCCCAGCATACCATCATATGCCACGGTATTTGAGTCAGTAAGTTAGGTATCAAGCAACCAAACCTCGGCCCCCCCTGCTACCCTTGATACCATAAAGGAGAGAAAGGGCACACACACACACACACACACACACACACACACACACACACACACACACACTTCTTGCTTTGCTCACATTGCTCCCTTTGCCTCCAAACCCCCCATAGGTTCAAAGCCTTGTGTACCCTTCAAAACCTAGCACTTTTGTTAACTTACTTATTCCTCACAACAACTGTATGAGGCACATACTTTTATTAGCCCCAATTTTATGGAGTAGAAAATAAGAGCAGAGGTGAATTAAATTTTCCCAAGATCACACAGCCAACATGAAGAACCAGGATTCAAACTCTGGCAGCCTCACTCCAGAGCCCTTGCTCTTAACCTGATCATTAGGTTGGGAGTATGGAGACTCAGGGGTAAAGTGATGTGCCCAAGGTCACACAGGTAAAGTCAGGATTTGAACTCAGGTCTGTCTGACCTCAAATCCCATGTTCTCTTCTCCTTCTCCTTTCTCTCCTCCTCTTTCTCTCTCGAGGGCAGAGGGCTGAGGTAAGTATGTGTTTCACTTCCCTAAAGCCCAATATTCCTACCTTGGGAAAGTGATACCAGGTCATAGACACTGGCTGGTTGGAAGGGAAGCAGGTACATGAACCAAAGCTGAGTCCATTCCTGTTGAGTGATTGCTCCAAACTTCCAGAATCACCCTTAGAGCAGTGATGGCGAACCTTTTGAGCTCGGCGTGTCAGCATTTTGAAAAACCCTAACTTAACTCTGGTGCCGTGTCACATATAGAAATTTTTTGATATTTGCAACCATAGTAAAACAAAGACTTATATTTTTGATATTTATTTTATATATTTAAATGCCATTTCACAAAGAAAAATCAACCAAAAAAATGAGTTCGCGTGTCATAGGTTCGCCATCACTGCCCTAGAGGGACCTGCTCTGTGACTCTCTAAGCCCCCTGCCTGTGTTCCCCTCCCCACCCAGCACAGAGAGTATCTGTGAAAATAGGGAGAGTCCACCGCCCTCACCCCAATCAAGGCCTGCGTGTCTTCACAGTTTGTATGATCCTGGAACCATTCCTCTCTCTGACAGGGGCCTTAAGGATGCACTTACACGTTCCCTGTGGCTGGTTTTTAGGACCAGGAAGGTTGGCCAGTTCCACTTCCTCTAAGTTTATGGCCCAGATTCCTGCTGGATGGTGTCTCTCTCCCTCAATTTCTTTCTCCAGGTTCATCTCTGTCACTCTTATTCAACATACATTTGTGGTGTTCCTCCTCTGTCTGTGCAATAAGCCAAGCCCTTCAAGGGGCTTGGTTGGGTACACAAGCACCCAGATATGTGTGGTCAGCACCATGTTGGAAGGATGTTTAGTAGACACAAGAGGAGGAACTAGAGGCAAAACTTCTTTTCTGCTGGAAGTTTTCCATACTCTTGTCTCTTCCATAATGTTTTTTAAAAAAAATTTTCTTTATTGATTAAGGTATTATATATATGTCCTTATCCCCCCATTGTCCCCTACCCCCTCCACTCAGTGGTACATCTACACAATGGAATACTACGCTGCGGTAAAAAAAGAAGGAATTCTTAACTTTTGCAACAGCATGGATGAAACTGGAGAGCATTATGCTAATTGAAATAAGCCAGTCAGAGAAAGATAAATATCACATGATGCATAATGTTTTCTAGATTATTCTGTATTTTTGCATGTATCAGTAGTTTGGTTCTTTTATATGGCTGGGTAGTATTCTATTGCATGAATGTACCACAATTTGTTTATCCATTCACCTGTGGCTGAGCATTTGGATTATTTCTAGTTTTTAGCTACTATGAATGAAGTTGCTATGAATATTTGTGTACAAGAGTTCTTATAGCTATATATTTTTCAATTCTCCCAATTAAGTATGTGTTTATAAACTGTTGATAAGGAACTGCCAAAGGGTTCTTCCAAGTGGTTGAGTCAGTTTTGCATTCTGTTCAACAATGTAAGAGAATTCCAGTTGCTCCACATCCTCACCAATACTTGGTACATCAGCCTTTTGTGGCACAGTTATCACAGTTTTTAGTTGCATTTCCTAATGCAAGTTTGCACATCTTTCCATGAGATTTTCGGGTATTTGTTTATCTCCTATAGAGTCACTGAGTGTTCTCTGCAAGTCGCTCAACCTGTCTGTGCTTCAGTTGGTACCTACAAAATGGAGCCGCTGCTTCACGGGTTGTTGTTAGGATCAACTGAAGTAATCTTTAGGAAGTGGTTAGGTCAGTGCCTGGCACCTGGCACTGCCATATAAATGCAGCTATTGGGAATTAGCCTGGCTGCCCACCAGAGCACGCACAGCACATCTCTCAGAGGACAAGCTCAGGGGAGATTCGCTGGAACCCAGAGTCAGGGGAGGGTGGGGCAGAACCACTCGAAAGCCTAGAATTTGGAGTTGAGGGAGAACTCAGCCTTGGGGAGGGGGACAACGCCTCAGGCCCAAATCTTGGCTGTGCTGTTCTCTCCAGGCTGCTCAGCTCCAGGACCAGACTCCAGACCAACTAGTCTGGGTCCCAACCTCCCCTCCGCCTTGACACCCCAACCGAGGAGCTCCCGGGTTTCCTGCCTGACAAGGCCCCCCGCTCGGGGCTGGAGGAGGAGGAGGAGGAGGAGGGCTGGCATTTCCTGGCTGGGCCACAAGCGGCGTCACCCGCTCCTGGACGCTGGGACCACGCGCTGACCGACAGGCACCAGATGCTATTTCGGGCGGCGCCCAGCTCAGTTCACAGTTTCCGTTTTTCCACTGACGGGTCAGGTCGGAAACAGAGGAGGGGGAGGTGCAGACGTCACCAGCCCCCAGCCCCAGGCGGGAGGTGGTGGGGCCTGGAGGACAGGTTGGGACCAGCCGGCAGA